TTTATTACGAACGTTTCAGCTGCCTTTGAAGGCCTCAGTGAATACAAAACCAAAAAATCTTTCATTGAGAGCAAGTCATTTGCAGATTGAGAGAAATGCAGCAATTAATACACTTAATGGGAAACGAAGAAATAAAGCTCAGAAATAATGATTTACAATTATAAAATTAAATAAGAAGGTTAAACTGTATATTAAATACACATCGTTCTTTTGAATATAAACTCGTGTATGTTCATCATGACGTGTCATTTAAAATATTTAGCCGGCTCGGAACTTTTGGCGGGCATTGTATAATTCACATTAAATTATTTAAAGCATTAAAGATCTAGCTTCGATCAAAGGTTTCTAAGTTTATGTATTTGATATATTATGTATATATATTTGAAAATAGAATAATTACAAGAATTTAAAATTTATGTAAAAATCACGTGGTTTTAATATATCTTACAAAAAATGGTACTGTTGATATTTTTGTTAAAATTTTATTCGTGCAAAGAAAAAGATCATTAAAATTTTACTACATTTTTTTTAGTGTTTACGCAAAAATTTTAAAAACTACTAAAAATAATTCTAGTTTTTAACTCTCTTGTTAATATCCAGATTTCCCCCTTTAATTTTTATAAAAATTCTATATAATTTTTGTAAAAAACTATAGCTCAAAGCGCGTAAATCGATGTAAAATGATTCAAATAACGAGGATCTGGCTGGACTAAGATGTATTTCGGGAAATTAAAAAAATTTTTAATGAGAACGCGAAAATGTTGTATGTTTTTATAGTTGCGTTGTTGTAAAAGAGAAGAGAGAGAGAGAGAGAGAGAGAGAGAGAGAGAGAAGAGAAAAGAAAAGCAGAGAGAAGAAGAAAAAAAGCATTGAACTTACAATTTTATAGTAAAATTAACGGGTACATTATTATGTATACCTACGTATGTGTTAAATACGTTGCATAAGTATTCGATATTAATTTGTAGAAAAATAGAAAATTGCACCATATAATAAAAAACAAATAAATGTTTTAGTCAAATAATATTTGTTATGTAATTAATATGAGTTAACTATTTTGTGTGTGTGTGTGTGTGTGTGTGTGTGTGTGTGTGTGTGTGCAACGTACATAAATTATTATAATATTACTATATATAATTACAAATACAAAATGCTCTTTATTTCACTATATCTTTATTATTTTACTATCACATGTATTAATAACAATCTGAATTAAAGAATAGATTAATTTTACAGGAACTTATTGAATTAGAAGAATATGAATTTATTTTTTTGAGAAATAAATAATTTGTACTTCATTTTCACTCGGAAAGTTTTTAGATCGTGCTATTACTTTTTAAACTATTTAAATTTTACCTCATTTTCTTTTTTTTTCAATAATTTTTTGAACTTATAGCTGTCATACAAGAACTATTTACATAATTTTGCAATGTTATCTTTGTGCTAGTTATAAAATGTCCAGAACAATCGTTAATTTATTGACATTAGACCATTTTCAAAACAGTTAAATCATTTGTTGATTGTTTTTCAAAAACACCGAATATTTGCTGAAATATCTTTCTACATATAGCACTTTTACTCATAGTCAGTTTGTAACAAAAACGTTTAATTAACGCATATCCTGTTTTATATCATTCATTTCAATGAACGATAAAATTACAATGACATAAAAACCGATAAAAATTGTCAGAAAAAGAACAACTTATAGCTTTGAATGTCGGTATGTGGCAGATTTAGTTTAGAAGGGATGCATTTAGAGTGGTAGTTAATAACTATAAGTGGTTGGCGAATATACTCGTCCCTTGATTTATACCCGCGAAATATCTATTCATTCCACGATTTTTTTTTTACGCGGTTGAGAATCGCGTAAATGGAGTCTGCATCTCTAGTACAAAAAAAAAAACGCAAGAGAAAAGCCCATATATGTTATAAAATCATTTATTTCATATATTTATACAAAAATAATAATAAAAGTTTGCAAAAGATATCGTATGAATGGAGGGATATTTTACCGAGTAAAAAAACCATGTATAAAAAGTAAATCAGGGATGAGTGCACTTTTTCGCGTATTGATAATAATCTTGAGATTCATATTATGAAAGCTTATTGAATCTATCAAAAATATATATAGCATATATTTTTAAAAATGTTAAAGTGTTATGCTTTTCAGAAGACAAAAAAATTATGTTTAACTTTTATCATCTTTTTTAGTTTGGGCTACTATTTATATTCACATAAAATTCACATTATATTTCTCAATTTATCTCATTTCCTCCGTCTCTTTCAAATTTCCTAAAATTAGTCCTATTGGGTCAGAAGAATAAGGTACGTTTTGTAAGAACATGTCGCCACAATTTTGGAAATAAAGAAAAAAAATAGAAAAAATGCATACAAAATAGCTAGGAAAAATGATAATAAATTTTCATTACCGTGACAGTACTAAATGTTACATTCATCATTTGCGAATAGCAGAGCATAATGTTATACTTATTGATAATAAAGTCAGACTATTCGATCGACAGTGACTATCCGGTGAACAATTGTCGAGATTATAGCATAATTAATATAATAAGATTAATTAATAACTGATTTGATGGCCAAAGATAGTAATTATGAAATATTTCTATTAATTGCGTTTAAAATAATGAGTGAAAAGTTGTCTTAATATGGCCCTATAAACAATGTGGTGTAAGAATTACATAATAATGAGAATTAAGTAATTAATTTAATTTTATACCACAGAGTTCGTCTTCATCTGGATTTCCATCAAGTCTTTTCCAATTTCTACTGCGATCTGCTCAATATTCCGCATACACTATCGATGCATTGATACGAATGACAATAAAGGGCTCCTTTTCGGCGCGTCGAGCTTACGTCAAGTCCATTATTATTAGTTTCTTGTCGAAACGCGGGCAAGCGTAACTTCCGTTCCGTTAAACATGTATTCGCGACATTTGGATGCACTTGGAATATACATATAGGTGTTACAAAATTTTAATAACATACCTCCTGTGCATACGCAGCGAAATGCGGGTTGCATGTTTGAACATGTACCGTAATTTGTAGCGGTGTTGATTGTGTGCTCAGAATTTAAGATTGTGAACATTATTATATCAAAGAGAGAAATCTATAATAAATAAATTAATGAGTATCAAGAAGCATTATAAAAAACATATCAAATCAATATCTATTGAATTATAATATTAAATTATAATATTGAATCAATATTAAAATTGCAAAATTTTATGCGTATTTGTTAATAATAAAACAATTTAAAAAATCAATAAATATTACATATAATACAATTATTGTATATTAAGAAATAAATGAAAGTAAAAAGGAAATGGTAAGAAATTTACAAAGAAAGTACAAAGATTTACAAACAAATTTACAAAGAAAAAAAAATTACAAGAAATGTCTGTATCTAATATTAAACTTTTTATAATTTTTACATATAGTTTGTAACTTTCTTTACCCAAATATATAGTTGTAATAGTTGTTTAATGAAACTATTTAGCAAACATTAACAAACATGCGTGTAATTGTATCGACATATTTGTCAATCCTGGATAAATACAGGTATTTGTTATTCCAACAAGTGGTCGGATTTTATTGTGTGATCTTTATCACTCTCTCGATTGGTTTGAATTAATTCCAGTCAATTTCGATCAGATGCAATCAATGATTTTAATCTTTATCGCAAAATCTCGTTTAGTGTTAATTAATTTCACGGATTATCAAGGATTATTCTTGAAACCTATTCGAGCTCAACTTATTCAATACCCCGAAAATAAGCAATTGGTCAGATAGGTATGAAATGTCGTTATTGAAATTCAAATAATGCAAATGTTATATATATTATATGTTCTTATAATGTTTTTACACACATACATATGCAGTTTATATTTTTGTATCATAAATATCACAAACTATAGAAATCAAAGTCTTAAACGATCTTAGCTGGATTTTAAATGCTTATATGATTCTTGTGTAAATTTATATATTACGTATATAGTTCCCAAAAACGCGCGCCGAAATAATTTTTCGCTCTTGAAAACGCTAATTCTACTAAACTACCGCAGTAATATCATGAGTTAAATTGACTAGCAATTTAACAAATTTTTTATGCTTATTCGTATCTTCGAAACGATCTTAATAATGTTAAATAATATATTAAAATTTGTAAATAATTAATTCTTATTGCGAAAAATATTATCTCGGCTGGGAATCGAACCCGAATCTCTTTCCGTGCGAACGTCCTAAGAACTACCTTTGAACTACCAAGGTTTTAGTAATATTCCTCGCAATAATGAAGGAATAACTCTTCTCTTTAAGCGACGTAAATAAACAAAATAATAATTCAAGAATCATTTCGGCGCGTGTTTCTGGGGACTGCATATGTAGTATATAAATTCACACAAGAATCATACAATCATTTAAAATCCAGCTAAACCGTTTAAGACTTTGATTTCTATAGTTTGTATTATCACACACATATATGGTCCTATAATATATTATATTGCTCATAAATATAAAATAATTTATTCTTACTAACAAAATGACTAAAAATAGTTATCTCACTCTTTTTTGAAGTAAATTTCTTGAAGTAAAATCTCACTCTGATAGAGTAGAAATACGACCATTTTTGGAAAACAGAGAAAATATTTCACTTCTTGAAAAAGAGTAACAATTTTTACTCTCTTTAAGTGAAATTTCAAAAAAGAAATGATATTAATAATATTTTCGTATCTTTAAAATAAAAAATGAAATATCATCTTTTATGTTCTTTACTTTATGGAATGAAAATGATTTTTTATCATGAAAAACTACATCAATTTACGCTTGCATTCTTTTTAATTAAATTTACTTGAATAAAAGTAATTTAATTTGAAGTAATTTTATAATATGTAAATTTGTCTCTTATCCTTTTCTCTTCTCTCTCTCCCTCCTCTCCTCATTCTTTCTTTCTTGCTCACTGGTTTTGTATTATATATGGTCTTTCTACATCATTTTGTCTCAATCAAACCATGTAATAAAAGCTAGTGTCATATCATATTTTATTACTAATACATCACGGAGGTGTATATTGTTTTATTGTTCGAGGGTGAATTCGCGAGTCCTTCGACACGTGCGCGAGCGTGGGCGCGTGAGAGCGCGGCGCCGCGTCGGTGATTCCTCCTTTCGGACCGGCGTTTCGACGCGCCTTCAGTCGCGTTCCGCGCGTCATACAAGCGAGTGTGTCTTTACTCGCATTCTGTCCGTTGCTGGAGCATTTTTACCCTTTACCCATCCGAGCGATATGTGACGAAATGCAAGTTTGAGAAACTGAAAAACAAAATAAAACGCATAAAACTAACTGCGTAATCATCAGCAGGTATATTGTTTTGCTTCTCAGAATAATACCAAAAACTCAATTGTCAAAAGAAAAAGACATTAATGTTCGGATCCGTCGATCAAGATCGCTCGAAAAAATGATCTAATATCGCCGGTCCTTCTTTTCATGTATATGTGCTGCAAAATAGACCAAGACAGACAGTGTTTTTTGTATTTAGTGAAGAAACGGGTTTTTCGAGGTATGATCCATATCTTTCTTATGGATATAGTTGCGATAGATTTGTCATAACTAGGATTGAGACATAATTGTCTCAATTTTTCGTGAGCATACATACACACTTTTGCTAAGATAAATTTAAAGAAAAAAGTAACTTGTTGCGGAATCGATGTAATATTATTAATGTCCGTGAAATCATTCTTCATCAGTGTTTCATGTGAGAGCTCCTTTTCTTTCTCTTAAGGGTGAATGCCTCGTTTTCCGTTTATAATGCTATTTTCCGAGCAATTAAAATTAATGCGGTGATAAAATAAAAGTAAAATCAGTTATTAACAACATGTGATGTAAAACTAATATCAACAATCATTTTGTTCTTATTAAGCATAATATAATGCGCTATATGCTGTGTTGTTTAATTAATTTAATTTAATTTAATTTAGTTTAATCTTTAAATTTTTTTAATTTCAAGAAAATTCAAAATTAATTAAAGTTATTTTTTTAACAAAAATGAAATTACATAAAGAAACAAAGATAAAAAGTTTAACAATTAGCTCGTTACGCATTATATTAACATATTTCTAGATTTCGATGATGAATAAATTAATAAGTAATAATTCGCATTAATATATATATATATATAGAAGCATATGATACTAAATTTATTTTTTAAATCTGACACTAGTTGGATTAAAGTATTTGAAAATGTTAATACAAATTGATAATGATTTAATTTATTCATTAATAATTTAATTGAAATTCGGAAATTCGTTTATATATTATATCGTATATATTATATAGTATCATAAATTAAAGAACTAATTACATCAAACTTTATCTTTTTCTTTATTTATTTTCTTTTGAAAAATTAATTTTATTTAGTTTTAAATGTTAATTTATTTAAATTTACAAACTTAAAAATTAAACTAAACTAAATTAAATTAAATTAAACAAAATAATATTGTTTTCTATTATTTTTGAAATAAGACTGGAGAGTAAGGATACTAGTTACTTCGTTATTCTTCTTGAATTCATTTTACATATATATATATAATCAATTTATTTCGCCAAATTCATAAAAACATACAATTCACACGTTCAACCTCAGATTGTTCTCTTGTCCAATTTCCAGTTTAAATTTATCATCGATTTCAAAGTGTCAATGCTAGAGTTTGAAGTCGGTCGTGAATTCAGACTGGAGATAAAAATGGAATAACAAACTCGTAGAAAGCAATTTAATTCTATCTAAAATCTGACACAGTGTCCACATTTCCTTTGAGAATATTTATTTTTTTTAGAACAAGAAAGGTGCATGAAATATTTCTCTTTTGTCTTCATTCTAATCTCAGTGCAATAAATTTGCGATTTGAAATAGCCATAAAATAAAATTACGCATGCATATGTTTTTTTTTATGTTCAGAATATGTGAGGAAAATATTTGTGTCAAATACATACACATATATCTCTTTGGAGATTTTGTATTATCTATTAAAAGATTTTTTTATTTTTCAATGTTTTACGAAAACATTGAAAAGCGGAATATAAGACTAAAAGAAAGCGATAGCAATTTTTGATTGACATGCAGTAGTTTCGGAAATCGCTCCATTTTGCTTCCTTTGCTCCATTTTTCACATTTTTGTTTGTCTTTTAATGCAAAACCTGTATCCCTCTCTCCCTTCTACTTTCCATGTAATAATATTTTAAATGATTTTTTTTTTGCAAATAATCACATTTAAAGGAAATTCAAGTCAATTAAAGGAAAAAAATGCAATAAATTAAGAACTACTAAACGGAAAAAAGAGAAAAATTATAAAAATACATCTTTTTTGCTCTCAATAATCTCTCCGTAAATCGCTTCGATTAATGACATTATGTGTTATTAGTTCCCTGCCATCGATGTCATATGTTCTTTTGAACGTATAGATCGGTGTATCATGACTGTCACACCGTTGCACAGAAAATCAAAAAGAAGCCATCTATCGTCAATATTTTTTTAGAATTAGCATTTTATAACATCTTGTAACACCCTTTACTTGCATCGATTAGAAAAAGATATAGGGCACTTCGGACTCGATGTGAATTCTCGAGGCGAATGCCTTCGAGATATCCAGTTTCTCAAAAGATCTCTGAAGAATAAATTCTCGTGTACATTGAGAGATTACTTAATTAAAGTGCAATACGATCAAGACTTTTCTACTATCTGCTAGCTAATTACTGCTAATAAAAAAATATTAAATAAAATATTTCTGTTATTTTTTATTTCTAGTCTCTTGAAGTCTCTTGAAAAGAATGAAATTCTTATAAATATTTCATTATTTTTCATTTCTAAATTTCTTGAAAAATATAAAATTAGATGAATATTATTTAACTTAAATATTTTTAATCTTATATGTAACAAATAATTGTTTCATGATTCTATTTTAAACTGAATAAATTTGAAAAACCCGAAATTAAAAAGAAATAATACATAGAAATTATATCCTTTTTTAAAAATTTATTTTCTTCTGTATATAGAATCTGTAGCCCATAAATTGAAATCAATGATATGTATAAATATAGATTAGAAATAAAACAAAACAATCTAAGGTAAAAACAATCCACAGTAATTGGATGTTTTTTTGAATTTGATAAAATAATCGGAATATGAAGTAAAATAAACTCTAAAAGGATATATAGATGTATGTGTACTTTATTATCTTTTTAGAATTTATTTTACTTCATATATTCCGATTATTTTATATTATTATAAAGTAAGTAAAGTAAAATTAAATTTTTTACTGTCTTTCTATATTTTCGCGATTAAAGAATCTATTTTTTATTTTTCTCAATAATATTTTTTGTAAAATATTGTTGACATGTAAAATATTTTTTAATGTAACATACACTTATAAACAAACGAAAATAAATTGTGAACTAAATGCGTTAGTAAACTTGATTAAAGACAAAGCGATTATTTCAGTAAATCCTACAAAAAATATTGCTCGTAGGATTCTGCGAGAGAAAGAAAAAGAATGATACAATTATTCTTAAAAATTCGGTATTAGAAACATTTACGGTATTCATGTAGCGTCGTAGGATCTTTACACAATAATGTCACTGAGAGATGGAATTTTGTTAAAAAATAAGTTACTTTTTTATGTGAAAGATATTTTCTTCGTTTCGCTTTTCTTTTTTTTAAAACAGAGTCGTGTGAATACATGCGATAAAATATCGATGCAGAAAGCTTTCTCTAGAAAAATCTTTGATTATATTGTTTTGCATTGTTGAATATATATATATATATACATATATATATATATATTATATATATATATGTAGGCATCATTTGCGTTAATATTTAACTTTGATACAATGTAAGTAAACAAAGTCATGAATATTATATATATATATATATATATATATAATATATAAAAATAAAAAAAAACAATAAATCTAAAATATAAATTATTTTTTCCAAGATTATATATTTTTTATATTTATATGCGACTTGTGATTTTTAGCAAGATATTAATTATAATATTAATAGGAACAGATATTCATAACTTTAAAAGCGCAAATTTTCAATCTTATTTTTTCTGTCTGAATTTATTTAATTTATTCTTATATTTCATAGACATATAAATGATAAGTTTTAAATATAGGGTGAGTCACTTAAGACTGGCCACTCGAGTAATACAGTTTTGGAAATAGGAAAAAAATGTTTCAGATGAAAGTGAAGAAAAATAGTTTTAAGGGGGACATATTTTGGTCATTGTTATTTTTCTTCTAAGTGGAAGCGTCAAAAAGATATGAAAGGTCACCTCTATTTTTTTAATGGAATTGTATAATTTTTTTTTATGTAATATGATATTCTTCTAATTATTCTGCATATAAAAGTATTAAGATAGAAATATTTAAAAAACCAGTAGTTTACGAGCTATATTATACTTTATTCTGGCATATATTAACATAAAATGTTAAATAACTCATAAACTATTAATTTTTTAATAATCGTATCTTAATATTTTTATGAATAGAATAATGAGATAAAACAATTGATAGAAAAAAAACACATATATCTCATTTTATGTTCATAAAAGTATTAAGGTACGATTATTAAAAAATTAATAGTTTACAAGTCATTTAACATTTTATGTCAATAATATATGCCAGAATAAAGTATAAAATATCTTAACTATTGGATTTTGAGAGATCTCTACCTTTACCTTTATATGCAGAATAATTAGAGGAATCATATTGTGTAAAAAAAATTATTAATTCCGTTTTAAAAAATGGAAGTGACCTTCATATCTTTTTGACGTTTCCACCTAGAAGAAAGCCAATATGACCAAAATACGTCCCCCTTGAAATTCGACTCCCATCATTCCACTTTCATCTAAAACATTTTTTCCTATCTCCAAAACTGTGAGTGTTATTCGGGTGGTCAGTCTTAAGTAATTCACCCTGTATATCTGTACTAAATTTTTGCATTAATTATAAATAAATTTCGACAAATACATCTTTGTTTAATTTTAAATCTATTTCTTATCGTCACTGCAAGTATCACAAATACAAATCATGTGCATCGTTATTATATTATTTTTGTATCTTTAAATATAAAATTTATTATTAACGCAGCGATAATAAAAACATAATAATAAATGAAACTGTTACTGAATAGAATGAAAATATTTTTTATTAGATTTCCGGTGATTTACTCCATCAATCTATGATTTTTCTATTATTTAAATTATAGAATGGATAAAAGCTCACGTCATTGCTTTGTTTTCTACACAATTAATATATTACTAATTATAATATATACAGGGTTGGCCATATTCGACGGAAAGATCTGGCAAACACTGTAACTTTTGACAGAGATGTTAGATCGAGTAACGACGTTTCCCATGATTGAAAAAAAAAAACATCTTTCCGTCGAATATGGTCAACCCTGTATGTATAATCAATATAATCATTGTATATTTCCGGTTATGTCAAGTGTTCTCATAAATTATAATTTATCAAAATCATATCAGCAACAAACGGCAAATAATTTTATTTGAATAAGCAAATAATCGCACGACACTTTTGTCCTAGGCCGATATAAGAGAAAGATAGAATAATCAAATGTATGTTTCCGATTGTATGTCGAGTATTTTCATAAATTATCAAAGTCATATCAGCAGTGAATGACAAATAATAATAATTCCATTTTCGTGATGATGCACAAACAATCGCTCACAATTTTCATCCTAGAGATTGATAAAGGGAAGAGGAAGAACAATCTGATATAAACCGCATCAGGAAATTATTTTGATCCCGAGAGAGTAGCAATACTTTGCTCGTTATGCGCTTCACTAACTGAGGGGGTAGTGAAGCATGTAACGAACATCCCTGTTCAGTTCGTGTTGGAAAACCCGAATGGTTTTCTATTTACATTCCGGAGCTTCTCAGAGTTGCTTCTGCCATGATTGCTGTTGGATATATGTCAAAGTGCTCCACAAAGGCATAACGAATATTCGCGAAACACATTCATATTGAAATTAATCGTCAACCCAGGAACAACAATGTTTGTTTCACAACGCTCTATTGTTTACACGGGGTGCAATTGAGTGCCGAAAAACCAATCGACTCGTTTGACTTTTGACGAACATTGAAAAAAAAGTAATTCAATACAAAATTGATGTAAACTACAGCCATATTAATGTCTCTTGCAATCTGCTCTCCTTCATAAAGCTAATCCATTGACACAGATTTAACTGTATGCAGACGTACATTTTATTTTGAAAAATTGTACATTTCAAAAGTTTTAAAATGCGCAGCAAATATGTCATTTAAGGAGAGTTGACTAACGCGATTCCACTTTTAATCTTTTTTTCGAGCTTTAACGCTGTGAAAATGCGAATAGCGCTAATCTCTTCGGATTCCTTTTTATTTTTATTATAACGTCGAGCGACGCAAAGGCGTGTGTGTTAATGCGCTCCGGAAATGTACGAGATGTATCACATGGCGCGCTAAAATTTAGTACAAGCGGATAATCAAAGCAAACGGCCAGTCACCTAGAAATAAATGTTTCTTCGAGACTTATTCAAAAATATGAAATAGAAAAGTCGGCATATTCCTAATTAATTAGGTAATAGCCAACTGCGCACTCCGCTAGTTTCTTGTATTCAAAATAGAATGACACGTCAGTCGACCTAACCACTAAATTAACTATATCAAATGGCACTGCGGAATGTATTGTCTACATCCCACAACGTAATATACTCAATTTTCAAACGTCGCTTAATTTGCTTATATAATAGTAGTTGTTTACATACAAATTTGTATGTAAATTTAAATTTTGTATTAATTTATATGGAAATTTCAAGAAACACTCTTTTATAATACTGACATTAATGTTAATAAGAATAATACTTACAATGTATTCTTTTTCAAAAATTTCTTGAATCTATAACGAGATGTATAAAGATGCATAATTTGATATATTGGATCATTTAAAAAGTATCCGCGGTTTTTTTATTCAAAAATTGAACAAAAAACCGCGAATACTTTTTAAATGACCTAATACAAAGTTGGAATAAATTGGCTATTTAACGAATACATATTGCAATTTAATGTTTACTTTTAATTTCAATTTAATCATACTAAAATAAAGTTCTGTATTTACATATCTATCTTTTTAGAAAGCAAAATAATGTATATTATTATTAAATTTATATTATGCGTTTTTCGCTTTATATAAAAGCCATTATTTACAAGAGCTTGTAAATAATGCTTGTCCTTACGTTTAGAGAAACGATGAGAAGAGTTGTTACATTAACAACAAAGCGGAAATGTTTATATTATTATCTACCACCTCACGACCAATTTAATCAGCTTGCTCGCGACAAAAGACAAAACTACCGGAAGAAATTTATGTTCCATCTGTCAAAGCGATGTTGCGCGACACACACGAAATACTTAATATCCGTTAGCACAATGGCTGTTTGTTCATCTTTCAACTCGTGTTGCTACTATTATAATATGTATATAATAAATCATTACGACATCATAGAAGATGTATCATTTGATAGTCTCGTCAAAATCTAAAAGATCATAAAACAAGCTCTTCATTTACGAGCAACAAATTGACCACGTTGTTTTGCGATGGCAAACAAGCGACATCGCATCATTTCCCATCAAGTTGCTCTACGAAACACGAACGAAAAGTAAAAATCGGAGCTGTAATTCTTCTGTGCGGAGGATTTCTTGAGCGGAAAATATCGTAGTGCCCAACTCTTGGCGAACAACGAGGCGATTCGAGCGTAAATTTTCGTAATATCGATTTTTTTCTTTATTTTTCTTGGCCACTGTTTCCGCGATACGATCGGCGCGATTATATAAATTGGTCTAATCGTTAAATATGACTTTGTTTTTTGCTTAGAAATTACATAAACAGATTAATTTCTAATGTAATAACAATATATACAATACTTTGAAATTATATTAATTTTTATTTATTGTATTAACTTTTATTTATTGTATTAACTTTTATTTATTATATTCTGCTTAGACATTGAATTTTATAATTTAATATATATATATATATATATATATATATATATACATATATATATATACACACACACACACACACACATGAATATCAACATTTATAGTAGTATCTTTAACTTATATAATGTTTTAAGAAACTCTTTTACTCTTTATGTACAATTTTAAGTTAAAATAATAAAAATTTGATAACATTATTTAATATCAAAAAATCTGATTTATAAAATTGTTCTCAATATCTGAGTGGAAATTCTTATATATTTTACTTCGTGAAATAAAAGAAAAAAGTTGTAAATTGTTTAATTTTGTGAAATCTTTTTACAAAAATAAAAGATGATTTCTTGAAATCTGAAGGTGATTGAACTTTTTTAATCTCACATTCTTTTTCAGCAGCTAAAAATACATAAGATGTTAAGAAATAGAAATCTTATAAATCAATGCTTTCTGATTCATTTTTTTCTGACTTTTTTTTTAACAATAATATGTTCATTATTCGTGATTAATATCTCTCGATGATCGACTTTACAATCGTACTGTTTTCATTGCTGTGCAATGTTATTTTAAGATTGAGATTATGTAATCGATAAACACTTATTTTCCTTACAATTTCAACTGTGAAAATTCAACGAGTTACATTATCTCTTAGCACATTGACTGTCATTAATGTCACTCCCATATGAATGACACTCAATTTCATGTAAAACTTATTGCAGTTCAAACACATTTCCTTTCACAATTTACATACTTTCTTTTTTGCAATAAAATATTAAATAACGAACCTTCTTACAAAAATTTGGTGTCATATATGAATGACGCGTGATAATCAATATGTTAAAATATATTTTACACGTTGTTTTTAAAAATAAAATTTAGTTAAACAAATACGTATAAGATAGTTAAACAAAAGTTAAGTTAAATAAAAAATGCAGCATCATTAATTTAACGTGAAGTTAAATTAGATTACTAGATATTTATTAGAAATATTCTATGATATTTTTTGATTATTTATATTTTTCATCTAAATGGATCTTTATATCAAATGCAATTTTTTTACAAACAGATAAACTTGCGGCTCACTTGGACGATCATTGGATGCATTCTTCATGCAGAAGGAAACAAACTGTTTTCTTAAGAACTCAATATCAGTGAACGCAATCATAAACAAGTGATATTCAATTTCGTACTGTTTGAGAGACCATAATTCTCGTCTAACCAGCACGCGCATTATGTGCAACAATGATATCCGTACGGGAACATACTCGTATTTCTTCCTGTTTCGAACATGCTTGGACTGAATTGTTCAATTACTCTTTCAAATATTCCTAGCACAACGAGTGAGTCACGGAAGATCAGAAACAAGATATCATGGACCTTCCTGCACTCTGCTAAATACTTCGTGTCGCAGGATAACTAACAGAAGTCAAACTCAAGTCATCGCGAGAGTTGTCTCCTCAAACACGAGATCGGCCAACATTCAACCGACGACATGACTCTTTCACGAGAAGTTCGTGGAGCAAAAACCTGAGCGGCGGATCGTGGATATTGTCGATTGGAACGATCATGTCCGGGGACGCGAACCGAGCGCGGACCGACGACTGGAATCTGACGGCCGGTTTCGATCTGGAACGCGTCGAAGAATTAAGGAACGTCACCGACGAGCTCTACCCCATACCGGATTACATCAACGTCACATCGCTACCAGATGTCAATACGACGGAGGAGATTGACTCGTTTTACTTCTACGAGGTGAGTAGAATTTCATATTTTCGACTTTATTTTTTGCATTTTTTGTGACAGGAAATGTTACAAATTGTACGTGGTATGTAATTTCTGGAGCAGCCATTTTTTAATCCATCGCGCAAATATTTGTGTGACAAAAATTTGGAAATCTTTATGTCTAAAATATATATTATTCTTCAAAATTTTAAAATACTACACATCGTATATAAATCATTTGAATAAAGCAGTTATTAATATTTCAGCCTTTATTTAATTCTTTTACTTTGTTTTTCAATTTAACAATAAGATTTAAGTTCCTAAAATATCATTATTATTTTGTCATTTATTTGATTTATTACTTTTTCTGCTGCAATGTCGGAAAAAAAAACAGTTTTAGATTTGTTATTAGCTTTTTACATGGCAATATATCTACAATTTTTAGTGTACAAGTATATGCAGAATGTCCGGCGAGAGCCGGACAAGCAATAATTCACAGGAAGGTAGATGAGACTGAACTAGCTCTAAAAATAAATACTAAAAAAAATACTGTATCATTTTGCAATTTTCGCAATAATTAACAAAAGATATTAATTACTAAATATTGGTTTTCAATAATTTTTTACTCAAATACTATTAACTTTACAGAAAAATAGCAAGAGACAAAAATTGTTAGTTCTCTTCTCATAAAGTTCTGAGAATTTTTCCAGAATTTTTTTAGAATACTGTATTTTCTTATGTTGATAAAAATACAATAGTTACTAATAAGAAAATGCATTACTAAAAAGTTGATAAAAATTCTCAGAACTTTATAAGAAGAAAATAAATAATTTTTGTCTCTTGCTGTTTTTCTGTAAAGTTGACAGTATTTGAGTAAAAGATTATTGAAAACCAATATTCAATGATGTTTAGTAATTAATATCTTGTTAACTATTGCGAAAATTGCAAAATGGTAGAGGACTTTTCGACTCAATTTAGTTCCATCTACCTTCCTGTGAATTATTGCCAGAGTCTCGCCAGACATCCGGTATATGTATTATATAAGTATATATATGTATATTTTTTTACATATATATAATATATATACACGTAAAATATTAATATAAAATTTAAATTTTTAATCATAATCTTTTATAAAATATTTAACTAGACATATGTTAATGCAATTATTCGACATATAAACATTATTTTTTATTGCAATAAAGATAATTTTTTATATGTGAATTTCGATGAACTTGTTACACTTTGTTTATTCCAAGTAAACAAAGATATTACATTCACTTTATAATAGAATGCTATCGAATAATTTGAATTGCAAGGCCGACAGACTGCACAATAAAATAATAAATCGTTAAATCGCTAAATCGTTCTTAACTATTGACTATAGTATAAGTATCGCAACATGATTTTGCACGAAAGTATCTCCTTTTTAAATCTAGAGTGCGTTTAAACTCAAACGCAAACTATGCCCAGACGCGTTCTTGTAAAGAAATTACTTGTAAAAAAATTGAATTTTGAACACTACTGTGTACGTTCCATTACGTATTCTATTCAGAATATTCACGAATAATTTTTCTCACTTATCAGCATCGCGTTCGCATAACGAATTCATACGGAACTTGGCTTTTACTGGTAGTTTTTTTTTTGCACGCGCTAGAATTCGTGCAGAAAAAGAGTATGATAAGAACGCGTAATTTTAAATCCTTTTTAAGAAGCATGATGGAAATCCTGATAAAGTTTGAAACTGCTTATTTTTGTATATATCCTTATAGGATCGCACTGTTTCACATGAATATCGAGTGTTTTTCTCTCTTCTTTTTAATTGTCACACTTATTACCGTTAACGCAAGGCTTTCTTCGCGCATGTGATAAATCAACAACGAGAATATTGGATAGAACATATTATTTTTAATTATCGGACAAAAGCGCTTGCATAAAGCGCAGAATGTTTCGCAATACAAATTATTATGCAATTTATCATTATGTAATACGCTTGTCTTCCAGTTACAACTATGAGCAAAAAAAGCAAAAAAAAGAGAAAAACATAAATGATCATAAACATTGAAAACAATAAATATTTTAAATAATAAATATTTTAAACTCATAAAATGAAAATTATGCGTTATAAAATTGCATAGAACAGATTTATAATATATAATTATTAATATATATTTATTAATATATAATTCCCATTTTTATACAAAATGTATATTTAATGCAATTTGGAAATAACGTCTTTTGGATTAAATTGTCGGTAATTATACATCTAATTTCCTCCTTGCCTGTTAATTTAGCAACGAGAGATTGCTTGGAGCGACACGCTGTCACTTTTAGAAAAGAAAATTGGTGTACAAAACACCGGCTAGTGAATCTAATCAAGAGCGATCAGCTTCTAATCAAAGAACTCCAATCCATAGAATTTTTTTTTAATTAAGAGCTATACGAACAAAAACTGAGAGCTTTTATTATGCCATTTATAATATTGTATATTTAACACGTGGAGTCTGTATTTTTAATTTTCGTATTTTGATTTTCATTTTCTCAATATTTTTAAATTAGATTGTACTTTGCTTCCATCTTTCCGCAAATGTTTGCTATTTCCAAAGAATTAACGTGTATGAATGTACATGATGTGCAAATGTATGCGAGTCTGTAGTGTATTTGAGTTTGGACCTGGGAATTTACTGAACTCAAATGAGTGTAAATTAGTCATTCTCCGAGGAAAATAATTACGCAGTATTGTTGTCATTTATAGATTATGTGTTTTGTCATGAAAATAAATTTAAATGTTGGAAAAATAGAACTTATGCTCTCACAGCGTAACCCGTGACAGTTATTGTTCGTTTTTTAGCTGCACAATTCAAGAACTTATTCAATATGTACGCTGCATATATATATATATATATATATATATATGTATATATACCGTATAAAAGAGAAGCAAAAGAAATAGACAGAGAAATGTTTTTTTCTCCTTCGTATACATACATATATTATTTTGAATTATACGACAAAACTATCGCTTATGACAGATATGCCGGGAATTTATCTTTTATTATCACAATGTGAATTTTTATTTTCGGATTTACATGTTTACAGACAAATGAGTCATAATTGAGCCACAAAAGTATTTCGTACTATAACAAAGATTTATACAAGATGTAAAATTCCATTACCATGTATTTTATTGCTAACAATCGTGTTAGAAGCTTCCGTTTACAATTTAGCATTAAGTAGTCATTTAATCTATAAAGCAAAGGTAAACAGGAAAGATAAAATTATACTAACGACAGAAACACAGGAACATATTTTCGTCAGAAATGAAAAGGCTCACCAAAAGAGAATTAAATATTATTAATAAGTTTGAAACACATACAAGATTGCTATATTGAATAAAATCAACTAAATAAGAAAAAGTATTAACTAAAATCAAAGTTGTATATGCTGGAATAATAACTCTGTATGTGATTTATTTCAAATACATACATCTATTTCAGATATAGGTGGGATGTTACGTAGCTCCATATAAGAGTGGCGGACTCGTAACCGACAGGTCGCGAATTCAAATTCCGCGTCTCGTATATATGGAAAATTTCGTAATCCATACTGGCTTAGCTTAGGAGTTACAGAAGATTTCTTTAGATTTAGGTGATTTTTTTTGACTAGGTTCAGACCTGTAGGAACTGATTTGATCCATCTCCCCTACTACTACTACTACTTCAGATGACTAGGCGCCAATTACTTTCGGACTTGCACACGTAATCAAAATAAAATAATAATAATAGTAAATCAAAATAATAATCTCACAAATTAAATTTGATTGTCGATTTGAAGATCAAATTATTATTATTGTGAAAAATATTATCTCAGTAGGGATTTATCCTAATGATAATTCTTCCAGTCAACGATTAAATAGATATAATTTATGAGATTATCATTATTTTAGTTCAATTGTGTTGCAAGTTCAAAAGTAATCGGCATGTAATCATACATATAAAATAAGTGCATTTTAAATTAATTATATATAGAATTATTATTCCAACATCTACAACTTTAACCGCAGTTAATGTTTTTTTTATTTAGTTCAAGATATGTTATTATGCCAAATATAAAAAAAAAACTCAATATATATATATATATTTTTAAAAATTCTAGATATTTTGGATATTTCCTATTATCTCTGAGTTGCGTAAAAAGAGAATCATGCTCACGCTTTCTATGTGATCGCAGTGGTTTTATACATGAGATTTTTCTCGCGTCGGTATCTCGTTATTCATCTCTCCTACGTTGCGCAGTTGCGTATGTCGGACGCATCATGAAGCCGATGTATTGCATTGAAAGCATGACGACGACGACGCGCCGACGGCGTCGGTGGCGACGAAGGTTCCTTCTTTCGCGATTGCAGAAACGTCGGAGAAACTCGCTTATTTTTACTAGGAATGCGTCTCGAGCCGCGAAAAGAAAAAGAGCTTGGCAGAAAGAAAAAGAAAGGGTGAGAGGGGGAGGGGAAGAGGGAGTCGCTGACGCGATGCTGGAAACAGGCGTCCGATAAAATTAAGCTGCCACAGAGCATCCGAGACAGCGTAAATGATTTTTTTTCTATTTTTTTCTTTTTCTTTTTCAAGATCTGCCTATGACATTTTCCACGCGAGATAATTGACGTAATGAGAACGTCGATTGCACTAAAATGTAGATTCTTTGTGCATCCATAATATTAAATTTCCAATCAAAACTTTTCAGTGATATAGAATTATTGTATATTTACACAGAGGCAACATTCCCCATTCAATATACCTTTCGTGGTTTTTCATCTGACGTCAGCTTGCATTTCTATTTCCATTATTAGTATCAACCCATTTTTATCTCTTTCCTTTTCAATTTTATTTATAGATTCATTGACAAGTTAGAAAGTTGAAATTTTCCGAGTGAAAATAAAATTTTTCCGTATGAATGAAAATTTTTACTTGATACGTCAATTCTTTACGAATAATGATTGAAACTCTGCACATATGGGATGAGTTTGTGTATTG